TATATATATATATATATATATATACATATTTGGTTTAATATAGTTTAATAATTTGATTATTAAATCAAATATTAAAATAAAATTACATTTACAATACAGTTAATGCAAAAAACTTTGTGCTTTCGTGCTTTATCAAATCATGCTGTAGAATTATCTATACAATTATATTTTATTTATCGACTGTAATATTTTCAATATTAGAGCATTATTAATAAAAACATTATAAGTATGTTTAAAAATTATAGGAAGGTTATTTAATAAAATTATATAATAAAATTAATTATGATTATTACGAATTAAACGCAACACCGTTTGGCTTAGATTAATCTGTTCGCGATGTTTTATTAATCAAAAAGTCGAAAATGTCAGTTTTATCTTTATAGATTCATAAAATAAAATTAATAATTTTTTTAAGGTGAAATAGAGTAGTCAAAAATATATAATCGATATTAAAAACATAATTTATTTTTCGAAAGAATCCAACAAAATCCGAATCAATATTTTTCACCAAACGAATATATTTCTCTTGGCGTTTCCTTATTTGTCTGACCAGACATTTTAGATTCTGCATACTCTTAATTAATTTTGCATTTCTTCCGACTAACACATATACGTGTATACTCTATATGTTGTCTTCTATCAGTATTAAAATTTTGCGAGATATTCATACAATTTTGCACCAGAAAATTCCACAAAACCAGGTGTACTATATGGATTTATTTCCAAACATAATTGTAATTTTTAAAATATATAAATATATAAGCAGAATGTCTGATATACTTACATATATATTAATGCACAAGATATAATACATATATATTTTATATAGAAATATATGTACTCATATACGAACAACATATTATATGTAGATACAAATATTAAATCGAAGTCGTGTAATAAAGTTCAATTAAGTGGAACGTAAATATATAGTCTCTAGATAGTCATTAGGAAATAGGTAATCATTACAAATGCATTTTCGAAAGCAAGTGATCCACAGGGATCACTATGTTAAATTCCGCCTCTTCTTATTTCGTCATGTATGCATAAACAATTATTTAATGAGTATGCTATAGTAATTGAATATTGGCATTCTTTCTTTATATAGAGATGATGTCGATCGGAAAATGCCATGGTTACATCATGCCTAACAAAGTTCTTTTAGGTATGTATTACATGTTTCGCAGTTTTGAAATTAAATTCGTCGAGTGTACATCGATGACAATTTTATATTGATGTACGTACGCGAAAAGACGAAAATAACAAAAAGGTTACAATTAGAAAAAAAAGATTTCCTCGATTACTCATTCAAATTAATATCAAAATGTATTAATAATGTCATTAATAATTTATCTATTAAGGCTGTTATCTATGATTTAATCGTTTGTTATCTCGTGACATTTATCATGTTCAACATGTCATCGAATTTCCAAGAAGAATCCAAAGGCAAACAGAAAAGAGGAGAATGGCGATTGTTCCACGCTAAGGACTTTCAATCCTTGATGCGTCCTTGCTTCACTTTCTGTCGTATTCTTGGCGTATTTCCATATACGATCAACGCTTCGACTTTCGAAATGTCAAAACCATACTGCATTTTGTCGATCATCGTTACCTGCGTTTGTAATATTTACGCATTAATAACGATGTTTAATTCTTCCGTTTCTGAAAAAATCGATATGTTAAATTTACCCGCCTTTCTTGCGGATCGCTGGTGTTTTATGCTTGGTGATTTCATAATAACCGTCACGTTCATTCTAACCAGGCCGCGAATACGCTTGCTTCAGACTATATTGAAGATCTCTTCAAGACTGCCCGCAGAATCATATGAGAAGTTATCTAGATTGATTCACGCTAAGGATATTATCGGTCTTATTTGTTTAATCGGGCTTATGTTACCACATGTTTACACATTGCAAATAAATATCTTACTTCAAGTATACATTAATCTAGTGGTATTTCAGATGGATATGCTATATATGAATTGCATTTGTATATTAAAGATGTGCTTTAAAAGAATCAATGACAATCTGGCGCAAATGAGAAAATCGATTGCAAATAAAGAACCACATGTCCTTAGACTGCTCTATCACGAGCAGAGAAGTCCATTGCTGATCATGGAGCTCAAGGCACTGGAGAAGCAACATCTAATAATCAGCAACACAGTACAGAAGCTGAATATAATCTTTAATTTGCAGCTTTTCGCTACAGTAGCAATAATCTGCCATAACATCATTTTTAATGTTTTTTACAACATACTGTCTTTGCTATTTCATTTGTTAACGGACACTCCGATAAATCTATCGTATCACGTGTACTTTCTCTTAAATATGGGACAAATCTTTACAAAAATAGCGTTGATAGTGTGGGCTTGTGAGACGAGCAAACATCAAGCTTTGCTAATTAATACTTCTATTCACGATGTGTTAAATTGCACCATCGATGAGCACATTAGAGATGAGGTATTACATATAAAATGAAATGTTGTAATCTTTATAAATACTTTTCTTTTAAATTGTGTTAATATGTCTCCTCCTGATGTATTATCGATTTTTGACACAAACGGATTTATAATTACATTTTTTCAATTATAATTTAATGATAACGTTTGCAGTTACAATTATTTTCGCTACAAACACTTCATTGCAATAATACATTTTGCGTGAAAGGTTTTGCTGTGGACGCGAAGCTTCTCATTGGAGTAAGTAACTGAATTAATTATAATTTCTTAAATTCTATAATTCTTAACCATGATTCCTTAATAAAACATTAATAATGTATACATTACGCACTTTATTTTTAAAATTTTCTTTTAGATATTGGGCAGCGTCGCTACGCATGTGTTCATAATGGTTCAGTTCGTACTCGTTTCTTGTGAGGAAAAGTCAGGAAAGAATGTTGCGGAAATAATTTATAATAAGTTATTTAAATAAACAAACGTGTTATTAAAAATACTAAATTATTACGTAATAGATTACTTTTTATTATTGTAAATAATAAAATTAATTGATACTTTATATTTGCATTTAGATAGACATATATATTTATGTACACGTATATATGAAGTAAGCAAAAAATTATGCAAAAATGATTTATTTTATCTTTAAGAGTGTCTGGAATGTCAAAAAATTTATAAACTGTATTCTCTCACACGCAAAAACAAAATGTAAAATTTTTAATACAAACTTTAAAACTTCTTTCAATATAATCATTCATTCAATATAATTCAAATTATTTTTCTGCAATTTGGTTTCTCGCAAAATTAATTACAGCTGCCGCACAATAACTCTGTGTTTCTCAATATAATATGACATTCATTATCTTCATATTATTATAAAAATATCATTGTTTTTCAAAATATAAATAATATATTTTAGTAAAGCTTTAGCATCAATTATAAATTGATTAATGCATGTGTCTTATTAGTATCACAGATTCATGTGGATATTGTCTAGAGTCTATGTTTCCTATTTCATAGCACGTAAAAATTGATGAGTCATAAATTAAAACAATTCCATAACATTTATTACATTAGTACAACATTAATTCATCCTAAGAGAAGCAATTACATGGCGATCGAAGAACACCATGGTTACTTCATGACTAACAAATAGTTTCTTTAGCTTTGTCTCTTTAACGCAACACTTGCTCACAGTTTTCAACTTAAAAGCATCGAGTACAGATAGCACATAGAGATAACACATATTAGTTTACATATTTCTTGCAAAGAGACCGACTTGAAGATTACACTTAGAAAAGAATCGCAATCACAACGATCACTAATGCTAAAGTGTTTGTAAATAATGCAGTGATTATACATTATAATATATATTGTAATCCTCCTACGAATTTCGGCTAATCGTATTCAATCTCGAAAAACCGAGGAAAAGCAAAATGCGGAAAGGATGGTGGTTGTGCCACGCCACGGACTTTCAATCCTTAATGTATCCCTGTTTCACCTTATGCCGTTTTTTCGGACTATTTCCATACAAGATCAATGCTTCGACTTTCGAGACTTCGAAACCGCGCTACATCCTGTCATCCATCATTATCTGCGTTTGCTGTGTTATGAACTTAATAGTCATTCACAGTGTTATTACTTTAAAAATAGTAATTGGAGACGTGACCTGGATTATAAACGCTGTTATTTACTATTCACTCAGCACTTTCATAGTGATCACAACGCATGTCCTAAGTGGTCCGCGAATGCGCTTGTTGCAGACAATATGGGAGATCTCTTCGAATTTACCTCCAAACTCATACCAAAAGCTATCCAGATTGATTCACATCAAGGACATATTGAGTATTATTCTTAGACTTGTACAATTATACATAAATTTTTCGAAAATAATAGAAAAATCGATCAGCTGTTTTCTTATCCTAATTGGAGTGTTCACAGCGTATTTTGCCATACTATCATTACAAATAATTATGATGTATATAAATTGTGTTTGTATATTAAAAGCCTGCTTCAAGGAAATCAACGATAATCTGATGCATATGCAACGGCATATAATAAACAATATAAAGCCATCTGTCTCCACGTTCAATTGTTACGTGCAGAGAAATCAAATTTTGCTGATAAAACTTAGAACTCTAAAGAAGAGGCATCTGATGATTAGTGACGCAGTACAAATGCTGAATACAATCTTCAGTTTGCAACTTCTTGCTACTGTAGTTATGTGTTTTACAATTATCACTTTTGAATTGTACTTCTATGTAGTGAGCTGGCAAGATGGAACGTTCATTATTAGTTTAGATAAGAATTTTCTTGATTTGCTTACAATAAGCATTTTATATAATGTTTTGAAAATATCGCTACTTGTGTGGGTCTGTGAAACGAGTAAAAACCAGGCTCGAGAGATTCGTACAACTATTCACGATTTATTGAACAGCACCAGTAATGAGAGAATAAAATACGAGGTAATAAAATTCTCTTTAATTTTATCAATGTATTTTTTTTTAGAATATATTGTATACTACGCAATATTTTTAAATATTCAATTTATTAAAGTATAATTGTGTTTTTAGTTTTATTTTTTCGGTTTTGCATTTAATTATTTTGCGATCTGATGTTGCAGTTGCAGTTGTTTTCTTTACAAATGCTACATAGAGAAAATATTTTTTCGGCGAAAGGTCTTAATATTGATGCAACACTTCTTGCGGCGGTAAGTAATCAATTATTTGTTTTAAATATTAAAATATCTATTGTATCTATCATGTTTTATGTATTAAAACTTTTATTATATACGTTTTTGTTTTAGATAGTGGGTAATATTACCACATATCTAATAATCTTGATACAATTTTTAAACATGTCGCATTCCTGTGACAGAAAAACAGAAATCAATATTAAGTAATAATTAAAACATGTTTGTAAAAATGTGTTAGATATTGGAAAAATACTATTTTTTGTTACTGCTAATAATATACAATCACGCGATGTTTTATGTTTATACAAAGACTCTGTTAAATGAGAAAGAATTGTACATGTATATGTATTCTAGTTAGTAATTATACTTATTATATATCAGTATTTTATTTATTTAAATGTATTGTTGGAGATGTAATAAATACATTTCTGAAAAGTTCTGAAATATTATGTACACATCGCAAAGAGAGAAAATATTAAATACCTGATCAAACTGTCATTATTAATTTTTAGATTGTTTTAGAGTTATTTATGATAAAAGAATCATAATGTATGCACAGTCTAGCCTTCTTTATATGTGTACATAATTTGTTGAGTCAATGAATCAATAATATGTTATAATAATTATTTTGTTATGTATAATTCATCCCAAGGTTGATAAACGTTGATCGAAAAACGCAACTTTGCGATTAATAAATAGTTTCTTCAGTTTTGACACCTCTGTGTTTAACACAGCATTTGCTCGCAGTTTCAAATTTAAACATATCAAATGTAGACCTGACAGAAAAGTATATATGACAGTTTTTACACTTATTATGAAAAAATGGATATGATTACACTTAGAAAAAAATCAATTTTATTTAAATTAATATTTACAGTAAAGTGATTAATAATATTTAGTACATTATAATACAGATATTTTGTTACAAATTTTTGCTATTTATGTTTAATTCAAAAAGTCAAGATGTGAAAGAGATGGCGATTGTTGTACGTCGCGAACTTCCAAATCTTAATGTATCGATCACTGCTTCACCTTTTTTCTCGTATTTTCTAAATACTTCCCTATAAGATCAACGCTACAACCTTTGAATCTGCAAAATACATACTATATTACATGTCGACCGTGATTGTTTGCATTTGCTACGCTTTAGACCTAGTATTCGTTTACAATATTATTGTTCTAAAATTTAACTTTGGCGACATAATCAAAAATTTTCAAATTCACTAATTTTTTTCGCAAAATTAATTGCGGCTCTTGCATTATACTTCTATTTCTCAATATAATATAACATTTATTACCTATATACATATAAGAGGAAGTGCCACTATTTTTCTTAAAATATAAATAACGTATTTTAATAAAGATTTAGTT